GTCGCCAATGGCCAAGCACTTTAAATCGCAACAATATCGTTGATAAAGAAACGAGAGCTAAAGTAACTTAATCCTCCAAAAATGTTTGTGCACTCATTCAGCGATAATTAAACCACTCAAAAAGTGAATGATTGGACGTAATAACTCAGTGTGGTTTTGAGCGCCCAACTTGAAATGTGGTGCAGGGGATTTAAGTATTGGTGAAATAGGATTCTGTTTGTTTAGTTAATTCATTCCTAAAAGTTGTTTTTTTTGATCATAAGCCATGATAAAAAAGTAACAAAAACAGGCTGACAATAAGTAGTCAGCTGTTTGTGGCACAACCAGATAAGTTAGGGATGAGAATACAGTCGCAACATATTCAATCCAGAGTGCCTTGATACGAGAAATTGAAAACCTAATAGAGTTACAACAGGAAACCCAGTCTCCATCAACCTTAGGGTAGTATGTGGTATGAGTACTCATAAGAGTAAAGATCGGTGGCCCTGATGAGCATCTCGCTGTCTACGTTGAGAAAGTACCCGGTGATCAGCTGTCTTAAGTGCGTTTTGAGCGACTGTCAGACTTAAACTGAAAACTAATACTAAGAAGAAATTAACTCATATCTAATTGGGAATGAGATGCTCCAGTATTGTTTCTCAAAGACTGAAGGTTTAAAATGCTTACACTTTATTGGTAGAAGTTATGCAGTAGAATATTTGAAGAGAAACGGATATGGGGAGGTCAAGTACGAAGAATGTTAGGGGGTGTCATAATATCACATCTGTGAGCGTTGGAGCGACCACTAGTTTATAGTGAAAATATGATTCTTTAATCCAGGCAATAAGTGCTTTTTAGTTTCTGTTTACATAACAACAAAGCTAAGCAAGGGTTTAACTTTCTGTGATGAGTAAGACAATGATTTTAGTTGATACTGGAAATACATACACCATGTTAAAGATAAGAATATAAAGTTTTGTGATTTGTATAAACAGCATCACTATGAAAAACAACACAATAGATTGATGGGATGCCAACAGGATTAGGACGTTTACCCAACATAAAAACCTATAATTTTATTCTGTATTTTTGTCAATTTGAAAACCATATATGAGGGGGATTTATGACTGGCAGGAATAAAAAGAGAAATTTCTATCGCATAAAATTGCGACACTTTTGTGATAAGTCATTAGAGCCAATCGCCACATTATAAAATCAAAAGCCAAAGATACAAAAAGAAATAATAAACAGGAATAAATGCGCGGCAGGATCATGTTGTTTGCATAAATTTTACTCCTGTTTCTCTTTGGAGTTTGCATTTTTTGATCAGACAGTACATAGGGACCATAATTAATGAAAAATAAAATCCAAAATAAAAGGTTATAATTAAAAGCTGAAACGGAATAAGAAGGATAACTTTGCTTATTGGAGGCAGAACAAGCCTAGTTTTACCAATCAAAAAATTATTACAGGTAGCATTTTTCGGTATGTGTGTGGCGCACACACCTGGAGTTGATGTTGTTATTGAACCTGGATGAAACAGCCAAAAAAAGGGTAGTAAGCCAGAGCAAAAAGTACAACCAGACAAATTGTTGCTGTCGATAGGTCATCAGGCAGAGTGGTGGTGGTACGGCAATGGACGGGCTGACATATAGCCACATAGTCCTTCGTAGGCCAATTAGCACTAGTGAGAGGATGGGACTAGAAGAGAGAAATCAGCACAGACTGAAGAGTGTAACACAAAACCTTGCAGGAAGCATCCAGCATAAGAGATTACATGAATGGTGGATAGAAGATCCACAAGGAATTTGGGATAAAATCCTGCTGTCCCATAAAGTCCATTGATACACAGATTACAGAGGAAGATGTACATGGGTTCATGAAGGCTTTTGTCCATAATAATTGTCACAATAATGGTCACATTTACCAACCAAATCACACAGTAACACAGTAAAGTGAGAGCAAAGAGAGTAACTCTGTAGTTTGCTATATCATTTAACCCTGACAGAGTAAACATAGTAAACGAAACATTATCCATATTAAAAAAAGAAAATAATTTTTTTTACAATTCTACAATCATTAAATATTTAAAACAACTATTCTATCACACTAGAGAAAGGAAATTGCATTTGGAAACACTACTAAAATGGACATCTAGCTCTTTGTCTGTCCGTCCCTAACAGCCTGAACTGTCAGTCTGATATCACTTCATATCCTTTCATAAGAGAAACAGATAATGAGCACGTGAACATGGCCCAATCCATCGGCCCAATGATGATGTGGTTGAATGTTGGTAGCAGTCTTGGGAGTAACAGGTTACTGTAATTCTACTACTACTAGAGTAACTAGAAATGTAACGTCATGTATAAATGTAAATATTACTTTTTATAATTAAATAAGCAATTACCGACATTTAAATGTGCTCATTAACAGCCAACGTATCTGACTGGATGGCAGAAGTTGCTGCACAGGGTTCTGGCTGTTAGTCAGTAGCTGTGCTGGGGAGAGGAGGGTCTGTGGTGCTGTGCAGCTCTGTGGTGATGGTCAACTGTGAGACTGAGGCACTAGGCAGCTGAAAAAGCCAATAGGGAGCACAACTTCTTCTGGGTACTTCAACAACAGGGTAATCACTGAAAATGGCATGGCCAGACCCAATCAAAGATGGCTGAAGGTGGCTCCTCCACTTTTCCATTTAAGTCTAAAGTTCAAGAAGTGGGCTAACTGGCTCAGGACAGTGAAGCGGAAGGCTAGCCGGCCAGAGGCTAACAATCAAGAGGCTTGCCAATTTTGAGGCAGGCCAGAGGCTAAAGATTCTCAGGCTAGCTGACTGAGATGCAGGCTGGAGGCTAGAAGACTGGGAATCATGTTTGTTTTTAGCCGGCATGGATGCAGAGGTGGCTAGAGTGAATGAAGAATGACACTTCTTGGGCAAACTGAGGACTTAAGGAAGTCTGGTTCTTCATTTAGAAGGATTTACTTGGTCACTCAATAAAAAAATGGCAGGCAATGCAAGTCCATCTGGTCAGTTTGTACTGTCCTAGGATGGGTATGACGCAGCAAGGATCCAAATGCAGGCAACCAGGCAAATTCAGTTACAGTTTGTCTGAGTTAAAAGCATGAGACGATCATACTGGCAGAGTCACATTGGAGACCAGCGACTAAGGCGAAATCCCTCTGGAGGCAGACAGAAGAGGTGGAACCTTTCTGGAGGCCGGTAGGCCTAAAGCAGGAAGAAGGTCAAGACCAGAGATCAACGGTTGGAGTGCCAAGGAAACAAAAGACTGCTGCTCATCCACAAGGGACAGCTACAGTACAGGAACAATTTCGAGGTAAAGCAGAGCTAGTTTGGTACTTCCATCTGTAGATTGCTACCATGTGGGCAAACTCAGGATCACGCTTCCAAAATACTGTGAGGGACTCCTCACCATAAAAAACATCTTTACTCACTCTAAAATCAGTCCATGAAAAAGGCAGGTTGGGCTGGTGACTGCCTGCATGGTCAGTCATGGTGCTGGGCAGCGGAGGCTCTGTGGCAGCTATGATGCCGAAGCTCTGGGCAGCTAAGAAAGCTGATGGCCTCAGGACCACAACTTCTTCTGGGGACTCAAACGCAGGGATACTCCCTAAAAATGGCAAGATCAAACCAAATCAAGGATAGCTGCCATACATGAGGGTGGCTCCTTCACTGGTCAATTTAAGGTTTATAAATTTAGCAGATACAGTCAGAACATGGCAGGCCTCCAGCTAGCACACTCGTAAACAGACGTAAACATTCAGCTTGTCTCATATTTTACAAACAACACAGTATATAGACAAATATGATAAAAGTACTCAAGGTTCTATTAATCTGGATTTAAAAAGAAAACAAACTACAAAAAATCCCACTAAGCTAGGTATAGGTAGATAGATAGGTACAGATTCAGGTTCAGGTTTAGATTTTAGGTTTTAGGGTAGAGAGGCTAGAAAGCAAAAGCTTGAAGCAACATCTGACGATCCGGCCAGGAGCAAGTGGAGATTAGCTAGTATAAATACTGGAGAGTGTAACTGGGGATTGAGGAACAGGTGAGCAGGTGGATGTTGGAGTCAGGTCACTGGGAGCAGTGGAAACGTCTGACGGCGTCTGGTTGACAGATGGACAGGTGGCACGGGCCTTGGCAAGTGAGAAGTGGAAACAAGGATACAGGGGGAGACTGAGTCAAATAAAAACAATGTCATGCAGAGCCTGCTACAGCCTTTGAAAGACAGAGTGAATAGAAGAGGTAAGGATAATGTGGTGGCACTAGAGGTGCCTGATTTCAGGGTTGCCATTGCCAGCCCAGACCCTCCCCCTGAGCACGGCCCTTTTTAGCCGATTGAATGAATGAATGGATTTAAATAAATTTAAAAAATAACATGTTATGCCTGGGGTAGGTAAAATCCCATCCCGTCCCTTCAGACCTCCCTCTAAAGCTACTCCCCCAACACATGAACACCAAAGACCAGTGGTTCCCAACCTGGGGGTCACCTCTAGGGGTCGTCAAAGCTTAACAGGGGGTCGCGAGGCCTTCTTGTTTTTCAGGAATGTAAGACAACTTAAAAAATATACACACTGGACCTATACCTCATTTCATTAATCTATGTAAAGAAACCCAAATTAAATTGTTTAGATTATATTTACGATCTAAACTTTAAAGACCTGAAGACGAACTATATTCACAGAGCCTTCACGTTTTGACTAACAGCCCCATTCTGCAGTAGAAAAAGTACACAGATAAAAAAGAGCTAAAAAAAATCAAGCAAGGAAACAGTCCATGTTTACATCTTTGTGTGAATGTAAATTCAGAATAGCAATACTGTATACTATAACTCTTGGACTCAATGGCCAAGCTTCAGGCAGAAGATAACTTTAAAAAGTACATAATACAGACAGAGAACTGTTCCTAAATTAAGAGCCATTGTAAGAGCCATTGTTACTCTACAGCATTCCGTAATAAAATGTACACATCTCTTGCCATCAAAAGTAAAGTTAATCCAACCAGCTCTTCTGTCCTCTGAGGCTGGGATCTGAAGTCAATATTTTTGCTGGTTATTTGACAATGTGTCAGTTACTTTGGAGTTCAGTAAATGTTGAGTAAGTTAAGTCCTACAGTCTCCAGGCTGCCAGTTGAAGTTGTGAAAACAGGGGCATTTTGACTTATAGACTTATAGGTGTTTTTGTCTATTAAACCATAAGATTATTAAAACAGTACCAGATTCGTATGTTATTTCTAACATACATCAGGTTTGCACATATTCCTCTGTCCCTGAAATAACAGATGAAGAGACTTTTCTCTACTAAAGACCACTGACATTTTGATTGGATGACAGCATATTGACCAAAGAACCGACCACAAGGTGTCAGCCCTAAAGACTACCCTTGGATTTCAGATTTTTAATATGCTGTCCTACTTTAGTTTGCATGCATTTCTTTCCAGTATGAAAATTAACTTCCAGAAGCTTTCTGATGTTTTTGATTAAATTATAAATAATTTCTTCATTTATTAAGTAGGTTGGTTACAGCATTATTTAAGAGTTGGCTGTCTCAGTCCGTTTATATTATACAACATCCATTGATTACCTACTCACTAATCCACCTGCTGACACAGTGATGTTAACACACCACATAACTTCAGTATGTTTTTGGGTTCTTGTATGTTAAGCCATAAACCTGTACACCTTTCAATTTAGAAACCATGTATCTCCCGATGTTTATCGTGGCTCACGTGCCGGGTCATGGCACCTTTGTGTGCATAATGTTATTTCAAAATGAATTTATTTGGGGTATTTTTGTATTTGTTCTATGTAGGCTACTCAATTAAAGTGAAAACAAACGTATGTTAAAGACAGTATAACAATAACAGAGAATGTAGTTTGCAGACGTACAGTATTCATCCCGCTTGTGTCTTTGTTGTTTAACAGCCACTGAGGCATACATTTGTTCAACATATCAAAAGTTGTCCAGATGTCATCTTTAGATTGTATGTAAGGATTTTGGGTGTGAGGTGTTATGATGATGAGACTAGTGTTTACAGCAGTCTGTAACTGTCAATACTAGTTTACCTTTATACAATTTAAAACAAACAGGCTAGGTCCAGGGCCGGTTTTATTGCCCAGTTCTATTTTATCTTTTGTCAAAGACTGGGTCACAAAGGACTTGTTTGTAAAAAAGGAAAAAAAAAGAAGCAGCATAAATTAGTGCTTATTTAGCTGTGGTAATAGAAACAAAGATGTGAAATATAAAGGCCACTTTTTAAATTAATCTATGGTTTGTTGTGTGTAGAAGTAATGATAAGTAATAATAATAATAGTAATAAAATCAAACTATGTACCATACTGAATTGGATAGCATCATATAATTTGGTATCGTATTAAATCCAACTGTGTAAAATTGCACTGCTTTGCAATTGGGGTGCATTGTATCATATCACATTGGCAATGCATTGAGATTTATATCGCATCAGTCTCATTAATAGAAATGCACATACCTACTTTTTAATTTTCAAATTTTAATTCCTTGAATCACTTTCTCTTTTAATTCCCCACAACTCATGCAAGATCAGTTTTGAAGCACAGCTATCTAAAATGTAAAAAAAAAGGTATACATTTTATGATCAGGTACAGATTTATTGAAAGGAATACATGGCTGAAAACACATCGTGATTTTGGAAACATTAAATATATAACTGTTAGATGAAATATAGTTGCCTTTTTCTATGCCAGCCGACCATCTAAATAACTACATTGCCTTTCTTTCAGTTTGTTCTAAAAACTGAACCTTTGGTGGGTCAAAGTATAACTGTCACATTGTTTTACTGATACAACAATACAATTATTATTGTCAGAAGTATTTCTCCCAAATCACATGACAGACACAAACAGGATTCTTCTTTTTGGCAGACCAACTCATAAGTTTTGTCTAAAAGCTGAATCTTTTACCACACATAAAACTTTGAAATCGGATTTCTTATTTTGTGTCAGTTTGAAACCATAGATCAGGGGGATTATAATTGGGAGGGGCAACAAGAAATTCTATTGGCCATAAAATTCTCAACACTTTGTGATATTATCTTTTGACGCCAAAATCGCACATATAAAATAGATCAAAAGCCAGAGATCCGAAAAAAAATAATTTAAACAGAATAAATGTGGCGCAACATGTCTGCATAAATTACTCTTGCTGTTTCTCTTTGGATGTTAAGCATTGTTCTGATTATATATATGTAAGATCCCAAACAACAAAAATAACAGAACCAGAACAAAAAGTATAATTAAAAGCTGTGGCAACAATAAACATTTGCTATGGATGGCAGAACAAGGCTTTGTTTACCAATCAATAAAACATTATATACAGTAGGGATTTCTTGCGGTTATGTGTTTGGTATGTGTGAGCCACATAACTGCAGTCTTGATGTGGTTATTGTGCTCAGGAACAACAGGTAAAATGGAACAAGCCAAGCTAAAAACAAAAACACACAAACTCTTTGCATAGTCATCACAGAGTGGTATACCAGAGGACGACATATAGCCACATATCTGTCATAGGCCATTAGCACTAGAAGAGAGAAATCAGCACAGACTGAAGAGTGCAACACAAAACCTTGCAGGAAGCATCCAGCGTAAGAGATTACATGAGTGGTGGATAGAAGATCCATGAGAAATTTAGGATAAAATCCTGCTGTCCCATAAAGTCCATTGATACACAGATTACAGAGGAAGATGTACATGGGTTCATGAAGGCTTTTGTCCATAATAATTGTCACAATAATGGTCACATTTACCAACCAAATCACACAGTAACACAGTAAAGTGAGAGCAAACAGAGTAACTCTGTAGTTTGTTGTCCCATTTAACCCAGACAGAGTAAACATAGTAATAACTGAAACATTATCCATCACAGAATCTTACAGTTTACCGTGTTTCAGATGTAATACTGCACAGATATGAAATTGCATTACCACAAACTAATTTGTGGGGAGGAAAAGGGGCATGCTTTTTTTGTCTCTACCCATCCCTAACCTGATGTGTTACCATTGGTTTATATTATTTTGTAGCAGTAACACTCAATGACATTGTACACATGGGACTTCAAGCTTCCAATCTGGGATGTTGCTGTTGTGTGATGTATAGTATTTGCTTCTAAACATAGACATTTTATAGAAAATCTGATCTGAAGTCTGATGGAGCAAAGGACAAGTAGTGAAACAATCAGACAAGACAACAGCCGTTGCTTTTTGCTTTTTGTGCCAACTGTGATTTGAGCACTGCATTATGTTAAACCAAGACTCCATGAACTTATTAGTTACTCTGAGTCATGAGTGTTGTACAGAGTACTTAGATAACACACCCATTGCAGTGGATGATAACAATCATCGCCGTCACCACAAAACTGTTGGCTAATGCTAGCTAGGCCCCCTTAGCACGAACACAACTCTGTGCCATTGAGTCTATCACAGCAGGTGTTGAAATAACCATATCGTGAAACACATTTAACGTCTAGTGGGAATGATTGCTATAATGAACACTTTCCCCTTTCTTTGTGAAATACAAACTTAATAGCCAATGGTTCCTACCAGATGTTGGGATAGATGACTTAAATTACAGTTTCACTTGAACTACTTGATAGCCAGTCAGAATTGAGACGTCCTTCTGTAGATACTTACTGATTGTGGAAGTAGTAGAATTACTTGAAGGAAACAACTCAACCCACCGACTATAATAGTGTACCAGAACAAGTAATTGGGTGTATCCCAAGGAAGTACGGGGCAGGGGGCCCATGAGGTCCAAACATGCAATCCAATGGTTCCGTCACTTTGGTCTATTGATGTAAGCCAGAGGTTTCCTAGACTCGGGTTTGTATTTCTGAAAAACAGTACAATAGTTCAAATATTCTGCAACATCTGTTCATATTTTTGGTACTTGACTTCACAAATCCTTAGTCAGAGACAGACCATGCTGCTTTAAAAGAAAATAGTTCACAAACATCATAATATGAATATACATAATTTTGTGACTTTCTAAGTAGAGTTTCAGAGAGTGACACTGACGATGTGTTTTCTTATTTCTTGTAACTTCAGGCCATAAACAAAAGGGTTCAGAATTGGAGGTACAATTGCAAACTCCAATGATAAAATTACAGCTAACAATGGGTTTAGCTTTTCAACATTAACACGACTTAAGGCAACGTCAAAAAATAAACAGAGGGAATAACTGACAAATGAAATAGTATGTGGCAAACATAATAATATAATTCGAAAGTAGGTATACAAAACATAAAGCAGGGGAATAATTATTATATATGTGGTTACCAGAAAGCCAACAATATTGTTGATCAAAGTGGAAACACATGACAGTTTAGCAATATTCCAGATGGCACAGTATACTTTTACAAGGTTGTTGCCACACAAAGGAAGCCTGATGGTCAAATAAAGACACATTCCTAAAGAAAAGGCTGGACAGACCCAAGCTAAAGCTGTCAACCCCCAGACTGTCTTAGGGGTCATCTTGCTGTTATAGTATAAAGGATGGCACACAGCAACATATCTATCATATGCCATAATGCCAAGAATCATCATTTCATAGGAGGCATATGTGTAAATTATATAGATTTGAGTAAAACAAGCAGGACGTGCTATTAAATGAGTATCTGCCAGAAGGTCCATGAGGAATCTTGGGAAGAAACCACTCAAACCATACAGAGAGTTGACAGACAAAAAGGCAATAAAAATATACATGGGCTCATGAAGTGCTCTCTCTTGTGATATTATCAGTATTATAACAAGATTAGCAAAGACAATAAGGGCAAACAGCAGGAGGCACAGGACAAATGCTGGATAGCGGTAATACCCTATGTCTGCAAACATGGTGAGGTTAAAGTGAAACACTATAGTTTAATTTTCCATTTCACTCATAACAGGTTGAACTAGAGATTCCTTGTAAAAAAAAAAAAAAAAGCCTTAAACCTTCTTTATATCTTTCAGTATTGTATCTTCAAATCAGGAAATCATGTCCTCTAATATTGAGATCCTAACACTGTGAGGTAGAACACTAATCACGGTGTGTAATTACTTACAGCTTATTGTTTTAAGCAAACAAATAATGCTGAAATAAGTATGATACAAATGTTTAATAAAATATTATGCCCTAGGTGGCGCTAAATTTCCGTGGCAAATCTTTACAGATTAAATTTTAGTTTTCAGCAACATTTCTACGACTTCTACGACAAAAGTGTTATTAAACTTGAAAAAAGCCCAGTTTGACGACAGAGTACAGAACCAAGGTGCAGAGAGGCAGATAGCTAGCTTCTTGCTAAAGTACGCTAACTACTAACTGCTGCTAAGTGTAGCTGCAGGGTGGGAAATTAACTTTTTAAAAAGTTCTACCAGCTACTGACAAATGTTTAAAATAAGCAGCCACTCAAAAGTAGGCTAGCATTTTCTGAAATCTACAATCTACTTTCATATTTGACTTGCATTTGACAGGCGCCATTGTGACGTCACGGATTGCTTTGTAGATTAACACATTGGCATTATGGTCGTCACCGTGATGGTTTGTCAGGGCCAGCAGAGGTGACGTACTGCAAGAACTCATCTGTAGCAGTAAACAATGCCGGCTCGCCTGCTCACAAAATTCTTGTATTACAGATAAACAGTACACTAAAATATGTTTCTGAAATGATTTTATGTGAGAAATAGGCAACACAGTGACATAATCTTGATTCATATTTGAACAGCACTGCCTAGTTGGACAGTTTGATCTGAGTTTTGTGCTTTGCGTTTTCAAATGACTTTGAAGTAGCTACGGCCAAAAGCATACCCTGCTTTATGGTCTATTTTACTCTAAATTGGACAATAATTTAAAAATTGTGTTGCGTGGAAGACTTGAAACTAGAGATTAAGACCATAATATATATACACAGACCTAGACACAGACATACATACATCGGTATGTTTTCATTAGTGTATAATCACCTAAATATAGGCATTGTTGTTGTTGTGTTTTTGTTACCTTAAAATATACTGTTTTTATCTACTTACCAGTTCCACTACAATGTTTATGGCTAATATGTAATCTCAGTTGAAATGGCATTAATCTTCATCCATGAATAATTATCTCTATCAATAAGGTGAATGATCAAACTCATGGAACTAAATTTCTATAATATTCAACATGATGCAAAATGATGACGATGATGATGATGATGATGATGATGATGATATAATATTGGAGATTATATGTTAATATTTCTGAGTGAGCAGGATAGTGGTGCAGTAGCAGACACAACCCAGATGACCTTTAATTTATGTATCTGTTATTTAATTAATCTCACTTCTTCTTTACTTTCTTCCCTGGGTTTCTCACTTTCACTCTCAATTCCCCACAACTCATGCAAAATAAGTTTTGAGACACAGCTATGTGAAAGAAGCTACACATTTTATGATCAGTTACAGATTTATTGAAAGCAACATATGGCTGAAAACACATTAAATGTG